CTAATTGCCACGACTATAAAATATTGGCCCAGTTGCCGGGTAACTTCGGGACTCAGTCAAATTAAATGCTGGCACGACCCAACTGTTTCCCAACTTCCTTTTCGTTTTTCTCTTATTCCTATCATATTATAACCAAGAATTGATATTACTCACACTAGGCTCTCTCGCTGCCGCGCACTTTGCTTTTCATTAATAAGATAAATACAACAGGATGTCAAACATTCCCCCCCCCTCCTTTTCCCCTGGCGTATCGTGTCCATGCTCGCGTACAATGCAAACAAATTATCTTGATTCCGTTTATCTATTTGCGTGATGGCTGTCTTGTCGATATTTACCAGAGTGTGTATAACTCAAGTATCAATACTCAAGTCGTCCTAACGTCTTCCCATCTCACCGCGGCATGCAGATCAGCCCTAGAGTACAGCGGCTATGGTGCACCGCGTTTTGGATTTGCAGATGAGAGTTGGCGCAACCAACTCCGGGATGTTGTTGGAGAGATACCGAAGTAAAGAGCAGAAAAGTCCGGGGCCATATAAAACTTCACCGTGTAATTCAGCCAAGTAAAACGCTGGCCGATAAACTTGCACTCCGGACTTCTCCTGTTTTCTTGAATGCGTTTACCGTGAGCGCGCCTGCGTGTGGCGCAGCCACCGCGCCTCTCGATATTTTCCGCAGCGTTGTCTTTCTTTTATCGCCACTCGCTCCAACTTATTTATCCATCTAAGCTTTTGATATCACATTTTATTGCAGATGGGCGATTCATCGCTCGTTCTATAAGTGATCTAATATTGCTTCAAATTACATTGATATATGTGTCGCTTGATACGTGCCGTAAAACATAATGCGCCAGAAAGAGGCAGCCTCTTTTAATTAAACACGATTTTATCGTTATAATTTTTCTATTAATTGACCCGAGAAAAAATGGTATAATTGGTCAGATGTAAATATATATAATTAGTTATGAAAAGATCTGATAACATATGAAATTTTATATGATCATATAAAATTACATATGTACTCGTAAATCATATATATTTACATCTGACCAATTATACCATTTTTTTCTCGGGGAGTTTTACGTATATAGGACTTTTTGGAATATAAAATAAGATATAGTTTGCGATACAAGGTGCAATGAAGAAAAGAGGTAATAATATTCTCCTAGTTTAACAAGATATACAAAGAGAGATTTAAAATGTGCTTAAATAAAAATGTTAATGATATGTTGATTATGGTAATTTATTCCGGAATAAAAAATTTTCTTTTCTTTTCCTGTATGTGAAATCCAGAAATGCATACTGTGGCGCCACTTTCTATTTTAAGAATGTGGTTCAGTTTTTCTTCACAGTTATTTCAGAAATATTTAAAATCTCCTAGGATATTTTTTATGCTGATAGCGTATGATTTTACTTTAGAATATTGAGGAATGCAACACACACATATTCCTGTTACATCTTAGAGCAGCTGGAATTTTTTGTTTGAGAAGATGGCTCATTACAATGTTAGGAAATGCCTTCGAGGCATTTTCCTATGCTGAAGTGTGTATGTCGCGTTCATGGATATGTGTATTTTCTCTGCAACGAATCATTTTCCAGAAAATATGAAGCTCTTCTATCTAAGGCTGCCGGGTTGCAGCTGCGTATTGTAGAAACAAAGGACTTTTTCGTGAAAATTTCCGCGCAAAATATTTAAGAATCTGCAAAAAATTATTTAATATAAATATATACTCGACGACGGAACAATTTGAATAATACTTCATGCTTTTTGTACTAATCGTGTCAGCAATTATTTTTAATAGAATTTTGGCACAACATCAAAATGACGATAAAAATAATTGTACGTCTCTCGAAAGACGACAAATTTGTCTAATATATCTATTTAGTTTAAAAATTACAAATATCTATTCCAATTGAACGTATGTTATAAAAGTTACTCGCATATTGCTAACTTTTATAAAGCAATTGCAAGAAGTTGCAAGAATGCTACGAAGCGAGTACGTTATGCGAAATGGTGACTTTGAAGTGCGCAAATCGATGTCGCAGATATACCTGCGTATATACATGTACCTACTCTCGTTGAATACGATTGGCCATCGACACAATGTAAGAATTTGCTTGAAGCGTGCCAAGTCCACTTGAAACTCAAGAGTTTTATTAGAGCTCGTAAAGTCGCTAAGATTTTATATGCGAATGACGCAGTTAAAGCAATATTGATTTTTCATCGATATTGTATTATAAATCGATAATCGTTTCAATATTTTGTTTAAGGAACATTTGAGTCAATTCTTAAACATTTTGTAGCCGCAGAAACTAAATTTGGGGCAAATTTTGTATAGTTTACAATGAGTTTCATGATTAATTGCTAATTGAATTGGTAGTAATATAATGCGTGTAACATTAAAATGTGATAAAAATAATTGTATATTTCTCGAAAGACGACAAATTTGTCTAATATCTATTTAGTTTAAAGATTTACAAATTTACATATCTATTCCGATTGAACGTACGTTATAAAAGTTATACTCGCATACTGCTAACATAAATAAAATGATACAAAACAGTCTGAGCTCAGATCAAATCATATCAGAAACTTTATTATATAATATTTATTTATACTTTTTCTTTGCAGATGTACAATAATACTTGATAAAATACAAGCGCATTTTCAACGCACATAATTTTACTAAAGAAAGAAAGAAAGAATATTAGTTATTATCATTATTATTAATTATTATTCGCAATAAATTACCGCCATTCTTAAAGTATCCTATAGCAACTTAATTAGAAACAAGACGTTTTTGTCGTAAATTTCTAAATCTTCACATTATGGAGAATTCCGGAGGACAAGACAAAAATTAATTTTTAGATTACGTTGGCATTAGCTGTAGGAAATGAAACGCTACGTGCAAGACGCGGAACAAACCAAGCGCGACATGGCGCTTATTACTGCGAAACTCCAGATATAGGTTCGGTTAGAAAATTAATAGCGCAAAAGTTATAGATTAAACTAATTCACGTGAGCACGTTTTAATCGTAAATGTTGTTTGCATGGAAAGTGTCATGGAAAGTGTCATAAATTCTACATGTTTACGGCGAAGAAGGGAAAGAAGGGAAACAAGGTGAACTTTTTGAAGATTATTATTTTCTCTTATGAGAAATTTAGGATACGTCCGTCGGGGAATATTAACCGCATAAAGGTGGCCAGCAAGAAAGTACTTTCTGCGAATTTGGCCTATGCAAATACGGGTGAACAATCCGGGTAGGTCGAGTTTGCAAGCCCTCGTCTAGTGAAAAAGTTTGGACGCCTCGCGACGAATACTAATTAAAGACTTGCGGAATGAAATTAGTTAGCCGAGGGATCGGGGGTGACTCTCCGAGGATGGACGATGGAGTCCTCGACTCGGGCGATGAAGAGCCGCTTATGATAATATAATAATACTTACTTGGGGCCTCGGAGTGCTACCTCCAAGCTCATTATGCGTTTAGTTCATAACTTCAATTAGATTCTTACTATCCCTACTGAGCCAGGGCTTTCATCCTGCCGTTGTCTCAAACCATCCTAATTATACAAGTAATTACTATCGCGAAAGAGAACGTTTCAACTCATTCATTGGCCGCGATGATGCTGCATAAGCAAAGATAGTTTATCCCTTTTGCAATTCAAATATTTTGTCCGAGATATTTCAGTTAAACTTATTGTACTAATTGTAATTTTATCGCGGCGGAAATATAATATTACATATTTCTCAAAGTTTAAGCACTCTTATCGCGAAACAGCGTATTCGTGACACTTGCGAGGAGCACCGACGATTATAATGTTCCTCCGTTAAGATTGTATTTGGTCATCCCAATTTGAAGTGCGATTTACGACTTGGCGTCGGTAAACGCATTTTAGAAAAGAGAGGAAAATATTTGTTGACCCCCTCCCTCCCTCCTCCGCCCTTCATCCATCGCTGCGGGAAATTTCCACAGAGTTCATACTGTCGCTCGCCGGGCTTTGAAATCAATCTCAGTACTCTGGGAACATGATAGTTCGACGCGAGTAGAACTTCTTCCTTCCTCCGCCTCGGTCCATTGAAAAAAGGCTCTTGAGTCCATCTCAAGGTATCGATTAACAAACACTCGAACAGCTAGTGCTGCCTTTGTAGAGCCCGCTTTGCAGAGTAACCGCTCGTGGTAAAGCCGTTTCGAGCTTTCCTGAATGGCACAGTGAAAGCTTTCTGTGCGAACGACTCACCGAGTGTTGCACAAGAGGCGGACCTTTCGAACTCCACAGAATAACGCGACCGTGCGCATCCATTTGTGCGCGGTAGAATTTCGCCGACCTAATCGAATTCCGGTTGCGTCGGCGAAATTTCCGCATTCGCGACCGACGAACGCGATATTTAATTTAGCAGCGCCGGTTTGGTATTCATGACGAGGCGTGCTGCGGACGTAAATATAACGCTTTGACGGAGTACTTGGAAATATGTATCGACCCTTTGATTTTATTTTCAAAAATTCTACTGTTACTGTTACGCCATCCGTTCTATTCGCCGAGCTGACTTCGACTTATCAAAATTATTCCTTTCAGCTTTTGTCATCGGAAACTTGCACTCAACATATTTCATTCTTTTTCTCCAAGAGAAAAAAGTTTATCTGAGTTTGTCACAAAGTCGTAATCGCGTTCACCTATTTTTACGTTCCGCTCATTGATAATATCCGCTCTTGCTTGTAAGAACTCTGCATATCTCTATAACGTACTTTTCGCTCTCTAACTACCGCGAGGTCTTGGCGATGAAAATAAGGCGATGAAATAAGAAACGCGACAGGAAACTTGCTCTTTTTGGATGAAAGGCAACGCGTAATACACTTTGATTTACACTTGCGTCGGTTTGCAGCGACAATTGAATACTTTCACCTGCTGTACCAAGGAAACCATTTATCACGATAGTAATCATGCACTATGCTACGCTCTTGTATGCAACAAAACGCTCGGTCATGAGACGCGAAGGTACTTACCTTCAGATTTAGGTGCGGGAGGTTTGCGAGTGGCCCAATTTGTCCGAATACTTCTGCCACCGAGCCACTGGCCATTCATGTTACCGATGGCACTCTCTGCTTCCTGAAAACAAGCACAATAATAAGAAAAATCAATATTCTCTACGAGAAACTCCAAAAGTACAATTCATATATTAAGCAAGAGTTTGCTAATTAACTGCAACTCAAGCATAAAAGTTGCATTAATTGATTCTGTTGAATATTATATTTTTCAAACGCCTGTTTAGCATTCGCTCACTAATGTTTTTAATATTTCATATTATTTTGTTCCCCCGCAACCTTGCAACATTGTTTTTTGATTTTGCAACCAAATACTATATTTCCAATGCCCGCTTTTATACAGAAGCGGTACATTGAATTTTAGCCGGTTTTTATGCTATTGCACACTATTCATTAATTCACTCTTTACGATCAAAGGAACCGTTGATTTTGTAAGAAGCATTCAGATGGAAATACAAAATATTTTTGCATACACCGCGAAATGATGGAGTTATATGGAGGTTATTTTATTTTATAATGTCGTTTCATCGAATGCGTATGAATGCATACGGTTACAGTTAGCGTTTGCAAAATTCTCACATTACAATGCTCTATTCTATTCTTGAGAAGCGGACGCTATAATATGTGAATAAATCTGTGATGCCGAGTAGGATGTAGGAATAAAATGGATAATTGACAATCGTCATTCGCAAAAATTCCACGTGTAATTAAAGTGAATTTCGCGATAATCGATAATTGCGAGATTACGGAAGATAAGGTTGTGTGTATTTATGTATTACAGAATGCTTCTAAGGGATTTCGCCGAGAGTGGGGAATGAAAATACGCGCGGCACCTTCGCGCGAAAGCTCCTTTATTGTCTCTCGCAACGTCTATAACAACAATCGCGGGGCGTCGTAAGAACCGCGGCGGCATCCGCGCGACGCGGAAGGATGTGCTGCATTCACACGCAAAACCGCGGATAAAACCAACAGGTATGTTGACGTCAATATTATCCGCGACTTATTGTTGATTCAGCCGCGGTATCCCGCCGGCTGGGCTCTCGATCCAGGTCAACTTAATATACGTTTTGAAATTTTATTCGATCGACTGCACTCTTGATTCCCCGGATTTTCGCGAACCGCTCCGGGCGATCCGGGACATTTTTCCATCGTGACGTCGGATTCCCTTCTGGGCGAAGGGACGAAATCATCTTCGGCAAAGGGCAGAGAGCGTTGCCGACGTATATTTCCGCGCGACGCAAACTATTTGCGCGACAGCTATGTAGATGTTATAATAAAATAGACATTATATCCGAACCGTCTACTATGCACGCGTCCATTACGCGGTTTTTGTGAAAAACAAGAGCAACTCTCTTTATCGATTATCGAAATTTGTGTAATGCGGAAAGAGTGAAGGGAGCGAGCGACGAGCGATATTCGCAGCGCGCGATGTTCGCTCGAAAGAAATATATATGGTATGACACACGTCATCGGTTGCATCATGCACACACACACACACACACACACACATACACATTCGCACCCGCGTTCGGAGGTACATGCTCGACATCGTGACGGTGGATTCGCAGGACGGCTGAGAGGGATGGAGACCTGAAAATATTCTCGACACGAGGAATTCCCCGAAAAAGTTTACTGTTCGAAAAGCTCTTCGGGTGTACGTAGCGCGGAGACGAAGGCGGGGAGGGGGATACCTCGCCATCTCTCTAGACTTCCCTCCACGCCTTTCCAGCTTCCAGCACAGTCCTACCCTCCGCCGCTCTCCACTGCCAGCCATTTGCGCCATTTGGGGGAGAGTCCCCCGCCTTTTCCTCATCTCCAGTCGTTACTTTCTTGCACGGCGCGGGCTGCACTCTTCAGACAGCGACTCCGCCGCGCTCGTGCCGCACGCTCATCCTCGCCACCGCGGATAAAGTATCTTCGAGTTCGAGTTTCCATTCTCGATATGATGCCGCATATTTGCGCGGTTAGCCTAGATAGAGCCAGGCGACCGAATGCCCCGCTCTAAGCCGATTCTAAACTTCGGTCGATATCCCCGACGCCTCTCTCCGACCCGCAACCCCTGAAAACCACCGCTGCTTGCCCCCTTCCGTCCGGCGTGACCAGGGCGTTTACGTGATACTAGAAGCACCACACAGCGCCGGCCGGTCAGCCGACGTCTTTCCCCGCGCTCACGGCCGGCCGGCGGTTCGAGCTGTCCAAGTACCCATCAAATCGAATTTCTTCCGCGGCCGGCGATGCTATAGACAGACGGGACCACCGCGCACCGACACCCAGCTGCTTTACACTATTATTAAGTCATGCTCCGGCACAACGCGCTGTCGGATTACGTGGCCTTAACAAAACTTCCTTACCAAACAAACTGTACTGATCTCGATTGTCCGTAAGCTTGTCGTTTTGAACTCTTTTATGTCGAGACTTTTATCGTTTTACAAATTTTGTCATTTAAAGTGCAATATAACGTACTTTTTTTTAAATCAAAATTCTTATACACTTTTAACAAATTGCGGTGTATATAGATCATATCAATTATTGCTCATAAAGAAATATTAATTTGTTGAATACTTTGTTGGTAGACGAAGAGAGAATAACGCGAAATGAAATATTTTTCAAGGAAGCTCATTGCTAAAAGATGGCTTTGCATACTTGTCAACTCGTTTATAGCGGTAATTGTATTCCAAAGTTGTGACTCTAATTCACATTGCCGTTTTACTGAATACCAATTACATTACCAATTATTATTATAAAATTTCATATTTAGCAAGAAATTAATATGCCTTTTATTCTGCAAGATTTGATTTAGCACAATTAAAAGTATTCCATATTATATTAACAGCTATATTTTAATATGCATTATAATTTCGTATTTAGTAAAAAAGGAATACGCCTTTTATTTTGTGAGGTTTGATTTAGCACCGTTGATGGTATTCTATTTTTGATCAAAGTTGTACGTGCCTCGCGGCAACAAAGTAATTTCGATGTAGAGTGTAATTCAATGGTACAATAATTCAATTTTTATTGAAATTTCAATGGGGTATAAATGATATAAGTCTATATAATCTACGTAATCATTTGTGCGAGAGAGAGAGAAACATGTTTCGTTTGGCGTGATTAATATTTGAGTCCGTAACGATAAGTAGCGCGAAATTTCAAGCAATATTTTCTTGAAACGTTTCAAATTATTTATTTGACTCGTTCGTACAATCCAGAAAATTAACGTAACATTTTACAATTTTTTAATAAAAGCTGTATGACTCTATGACCAAATAAAAATATGACTTGTTGTTTTAAAAATTCTGCGACTTGCTACATGTACCATATTTCTGTTGCGTCAAAAAATAAAGACTATTTATTTACATAGTCCTGCGTATATTCGCGATAACATGTCAACGCGGCCGTTATACATCCGGTATTCTGACTGCAACCATAAATAAAATAACGTTTACACACATAAAGGTGTTAACCAATGTGCCGTAAATGACGCACTAATTGCCATTGTTTATCTAGCATGGGATATACAAATCTATGCGGGTAGCGGTGCGCTTTTGTATGCTTAAGGTCGTGAGTCATAATATCGCGCGATTTATCGATCAAATGGTAAAGCAACAAAAGTTGACAGTAACTAGAGCGAGCACTTTTACTGAATGTATGTAAGTGTACGCTGGCCATCAACTGGTAACAGGGGCAAAGCTTGGACTACATGATGAATCCGTCCACGTATTTCAATAGACACCGACATTGTACCATATATTTGCTACTTGCCGCATTTTATTTTCATTGGAAATTACAAATCACAATTTACAGTGGCGGGATAAACGTTGCAATCGTAAATCAATTTTTTTTCCACCGTCGTTGGTATTAACGCATCATCGCACCTGACGAATGCGGTACACAAACGCACGAAACGTATAGAAACGCGAGACATTATAAAAGCTCGGTATTCATTAAATGCAGCACTTGAGACCGCCCTCGAGGAAAAACGAGAATCCCGAGAATTCGTATTTCCTCGTACATCTTAAAAGAGCCAGGATGCTGGATGCTGGGCGATCAGAGCTCGCGATTTAGGTACGTGTATCCGGCGGTCGAAGGATATAGTGGCGGCGGGACCGGTCGGTGGACGCGAGGGGCGGTGGGGATAGTGGTGGGCGGGGAAGGGGCGAAATTTTCGCGTGTTCCTAGAGGTTAACGGAGACACTCGGGAAATTTATACTTCGGCAATAGTAATACCGCGGGTGTGAGGCAGGTGCCGGCGGTGGTCCAGATCGATAGGACATTAAAACAGAGAGGAAACGAGAGAGGGTCTACCTTCGGGGCAGGCGCCTCGACGAATAACCCCGCCATAAACGGAGGAAAGCCTTCTTTTACTCAGCCGTACATCTAACTTCGCTGTGATTTACGTCGTGGATTTTGGCGGGTCACCGTAAAACTCCGGCCACTCTCCATTTAGTCTCCGAAAAATGATGTTGTAAACCGTGACGGTCGGACCCTCCTCCTTATTTCATCAGCGGAAGGACGATGTCAAGTTTGACATGCTGCGGAAGTGATTTTGCAGTCGCAGTCGTTGACGAGCGCTCGCGTTCTTTTCGGGGGACAATCGGGGAGTTGGATGCGATAATTAAAATGCTGCTCGGAACGACATTATCTACTCTGCCATTATGCCGCTGTAGGTCTGATTTACATAAAATAGATCGGGCACTTATCTCTTATCTCCTCCGCTCGCAAATATCCGGATAATGTGTCATTTCATTTTTGACTATATAATCTCTTAGATATGGAGTCACGAATGTTGTTGCTTTAATTGATGCTTTGCATGCTGCAATTTTCTCTCGCACTAACGCCTAACGGACTTTCTTGAGAGCGCAGTCGAATTTTGCTAAAATGTCGATCAAGAAAACGTGATGCGTAAAGTTTTCTTCTAGGGTTTCTAAGACTTGTAAGATCCTAAAGTTAACTCGGACTAAGTGGCTTTTTGGTAGTTAAGATATATCGATTGATACATGCTCGAATAATAAACTTATCTTATTAAACTTTCGAAATAGAAAAAAATCTCTTCTCTAGAAGAAGATGTCATGCTATAAAAACATGAATGACTAACAAAACTACACGCATAAAAGTTTAAGTGTTTCAGAGCTATATATTCCTAATGAATCAAAGTTTCTTTATTTTTTGACAATGAGAATAATTGTTAGCTAATAGGGTTTTATGCGGGATAAACTACTTTTAACAAAGTGTGATTGTATCTTGCAAGTTTTAAATACCGTAGCTAAGGCTCATATGATAGACTTTGTTTATTATCTCAGCTACGGCAACACTAATACTCTCGCTACTTTTTAAGGGAAAACATCGGACTAATATAATAATGTTGCTAATAAAAAGTACTTACTGCTTTTTTGACGAAAGAAACGAATCCATATCCCTTGGATTTTAAAGTTTGGGGATCCCTGACGACTCTGCAATCTCTGTAACATAAATATTATATCTTGTAAAATGAAATAATGTATGGACATAAGTAACGTAAGGATAGGATTCCATTATCGAGAAATTCGCTAATAGATCGATTTAGTGGTTAAATCCACTTGGTTCTTATTATAACATTCAATTAAGAATTTCTTATTTTAATCTTCATTTAAAATTCTTGCGTTATCTCTTTGATACCAGAATTTAAATAGAATTAATATCTCATCATATATTTACTTACATTTTTTTTTTTTTTTTTTTGCTACGAAATGATGAATATTGAAATAACACACGTATATACGAATAGAATGATATTTAGCATTTTCTAGGAGGGGAAAGAATATTCATCTCCGTCTACGCGGTCATTATCGCAATATTACGAAGCTCGCAGGGAGGGACCTCAATTTGTTTCATGCACAGTTGAATTTCGAAACGCTCATATTCTCCGGAAAAGTACCGGCGACATTGTCGGGCAAATTGGGAGCGGGTTGCCGGACCGCCCCCGACAAATTCTTCCTCATAATTAAGATTCCAGTAGCGCACCCGGCGGACAAAATTAGGAATACTGGAACGCACGGCGTGGCGCTGGAGGTTTCGGTGTCGTTTCGGCGAGAGCTTAAGGCGAGGAAATATTCTTTCGACCGATAGAGCGGGATGGCATGCGCCGCGAATAAAATTCCGCGCCACGCACACACACACACACACACTGATATATCTCCACGCTTCTCGCTTCCGTTATTCGCCGGCTATCGGGACTTTTTTCGAGCGCAAGTGGGAATTTTCAAAAGACTACGTCGCGCGGTATCTACTATCTACTATGCGCGGTGATTGATGTATACCACGGTCGGAACTTTGATGTATGACACTTTCCGCGCACCATGGAATTAATTGCCCGTAGAAAAAAAATTGCCAGCGTGAAGATGACAGTACTGATCTTCCTCCTTATTGTCTCCGTATTTGTGATGGATGAATTGCAGTAGAGTAGCAAGTAATTAGAAAATAGATGGTTGAATAGTGACATCCATAAATGCAGATGTTTGCGCGGGGTATATTTCACGGACCTTTTTTCGTTTTAACTCTTTTCCGCCGGCTGTGCAATAGTTTTTGTCCGCCAAACTGAAAACGGTCAGCTTCATGAAGATAAGTCATTAAATGTATAATGTGCCCAACCGCAATTTAATGTGTTATGTTTAAAAAGTCTAGCAAACGACGTTTGCCGTGATACACGCGGATGGAAAGCGAAGAAGAGACGAAGTGAAAAAAAGCAAAGGGACGACCTCGTTTGGGAAGAGGAGGCTTCAAAGAAGGGTTGTCAAAAGGAAAGAACGTAAAAGGGAATAAAAGAGGAGGCAGGCGGAATTACGCGCGTTTCAGGCTGCAGCCGGTCGGTACTTCCACTCTGTGCATCAATTTGAATGCACACCTGCCGCGGTTTCGCCCGTAATTAAAACGATTAATCGATCAAAGGACGTATCTGGGCGGAAGCGAAAAGAGTGAGGAGAAATTCGTACGATGTGTACACCTCCCTAATGAGTAACGATAGAGAATAAATTAATGCGTAACGGCTGATGCGTAATATGCGTAGTAGTAATTAAATGTTTTTATGCTCGACGACGTTCCTTTACCGTGAAAAAAAAAAAGAAGAATCCCGAAGTGAATTAAATGGAAGATAAATTCCGAGCGACGAATCATCGGCACGGTCGATTAATCTCTATTGGAAATAAATTGTAAGCAAGACGCGAGCGAAGCGACGCGCGTTTTAACGCGTAGCAAATCCTTTAGCGGCGTCACGTTTCAAGTAACAAATATAGGCGGATAATTTTAATCGACGATGCTCCCCCTCGCCGTGAGTACGCGTCGCGACTTCAAAGGCTTTACGTTACTGCGATATACCATTTCCGATTGCCTTTGCACCGAACGGTCGGCGAACGTCGTGGTTTACGAGCGCGGAATGTTGAGTGGTCAATATAAGTTAGATGTGGAACACGTCGGCCAGTCGTCCGCGTATGCCGTTGCCCACAACTTCGCATCACTCACATCGCGTATCCCCCCCTCCCCGCGCTTCCCGCTTTCTATCGATATAGATATGAGAGCTGTTGTGCGTTTCCGTACAGCGCGCTTGTTCGCTTTCCCTTTGTCGTTCCTCTTTACGCCCGTTCCTCTAGCCGGGCCGCCACCGCCGCCGTCCGCGTAGAGCGAAACAATTGACGTGACGGCGTGCGTCGTGGATTTACGTTCCTCACCGCGAAAAATCATAAATTAATGCACGGTTATTGACGCGATAAATCTCAGAATTTAATTCAGGCTCCGTCGAGCTCCCTGTCGCACGACACGCCGTGCCTCTCATCCTTTTTGGCCGGTGATATAGCCGCGACAATGCCAGAGGCTCGTACTCTGGCGGGTCAAAGCCTCGATAGGATAAAGAGTAAGTCTGGATTTATTGCCATCGAGCCAGTTGAACGCGATGGACGTGTGGATAGAAGAGGTTTTGCATGGGCGCGGTAGCGGGAGTATAGCGGGGTGATGATTCAAATTGCGCGCTAGGCGTGTATCCGGGATGACGAATTTTGCACAGGTTGTCTCTCATTCTATCAATTTCGCCGCCGTGATTCTGTGCGAATTTTCCGCCGTTGCGTATTATTCAATATCAGTCGTGATATTATTTTAACGACGGAAATAATGATTATAAATTGATTGCGAAATTGTTTATACTTTTTATAAAGATGTATGTGTGCGATTGGAAACGCAGCGCGAGGAAGGAAATGGCGACATTGTGTTCACGAAATTTCCATAGCTGCAGAGAAATTTGCATCCAAGGATATACCGTAAGTTTAGATTTATCGCCGTCGACTAGGTCGGGCGTGATAGACGCGAGAGTGGAAGGGTGGGCTGTGTCGATGTTTCAAATTGCGCGCTAGGGACGTAATCCACAGAAAGATTGCAGGCTTGTTGTTCGTTCTATCAATTTCGAAATCTTGACTCTACGTTGTTTATGTAGGTGATATCTGTTACGATTACACTGACAGGAAAGTGTTTACCTACTTAGATTGCTGGATTTCCGAGGCAATCCGATCAATTATATCAATAGAATTATACTTTTACTATTTAAAATTCACGTCATCCATTTCGAACCGATAATATTGATATCTTGTAATTAGCTAAAAATGTAATAAAGTATAAACTGATTAAATTTGTGAACTCAAGACTCATAATAACGCGAATCATTGACAATTCGTGAAAACTATTACGATCGTGAGAGTAAAAAGACAGTTTGGAAATGTTATAAAAATGTTATGGTTCTATGCCTTTGTGCGAAGCAATTTTCTTAATGTGATTTAATTCGTTTAAATAAGTGGTTTCTGAACTGTTTAACAAGTTTCTAGATTCCGTTCTCTTTAATCCCGAGACAAGTATAGTGGAGCTTGTAAAATTCCCACTGGTAATTCTTCTTATCTCGCAAAGTAAGTTCTCCGGGATTGATAAAAGCTGCTGGTCCGCAGCCCAATTTTGACAATTAACATGCGATTCGCTCGTGCAGTATTTACTCAACAATTGCTAGTTTGCGATGTCTGCTGAATGTATTCTGTTCGTAAACAGTGTACTTTTACCGGAATGCTCGATGCATTTCAACAAGTTTAAGCTGATCTCTCCCCCTCTCGCCTTTTACATCTTGTTCCTATCTTTTTCTTGCATCCCTCTTGCTTTCTTTGCCCTCTTGCCCTCTTTGTCTGCTTTCTTTCTTGCTTAGCGCGCCATTTCCTTTCTCTGTATCTACGCTATTCTTTTTCCATATATATTACTCACTTATTTTGGAAACATTCAAACATTACTTGATAATATCATAATTGAATCTTTTCTCCGCAAAAAGTTTTTCCCAGTTTGCTTAGCATGGAAATCAGGCATTCATGACATTTTCTATTTGTGAGAATCTTTTTTTTTCACATTTAACCCGCAATTTATTTGCGGATAATGGTAAAACTACGAATGGAAATTTTGAATAAATACTTCAAACGCATTTACGTGAAAAATTTTTATCCGTGAAATATTTTGTACTTTATAAAATTATATTGTGCATACATGATCACGTATCCTAATTCATAATTCTGTCCTTGCATCACACGTAACAAAAATTTTCAGCTTAATTAAAAGTATGTCAATAATGCAATAAGACATATACAATAAATGGGATCTCCTAGGTATTGCATTATTAATATTATGTTACGCGCAATTTTTGGGGGACAAACATTCGAAAAATACAAACTTATCAATCAATGATATATCATCTTCTATATCTCTAAGGAGAATCTTTCATATAGCTTTCTATACCTCGAACATGCGTGTCACAAAGACTAGGCAATCTTTATTTCCGTCAGTCGGAGCTTACGTTTCTATCGATGATCATTCGAGCGTCTCGCCTCGTTTTTATTTCGTACAAGATATTTTCGATAAGGCGGGCGGAACAAGAAGACGGGGATCGTGAATTGACGAAATCGTGTCACGACCTCATCAGTTTCATATCCTTAAGCCGCGAAACTTTCGCGTATTAACCTCCATTCCTTGATGCCGCTTTTTCATCTTTCATACTGCGCCGGTTCCTTTGACTACGTGCTGCGCAGGCAGTCTTTCCATTAGCCGCCGGAAAAATTCAAACTCATTAATTAGGCGCTAGGAATGGCGCGTCAGCACGAAGATCTTTGTACCGTAGGATCTGGGTCCTTATCGCCCGGGCAACGAAGATTGAAGAACACCATTTTCGAGCGAGCGAGGAGAGGAACTGTGGGGGTATGAGCGTCCGCGAGAACAGATTCATCAATCTACCTACAAATAATCGCTGCAGAGTGCTATCGTTCATCAGCATTTGATCGCTATTCTCGGACGCCGTTTATCGATTTCTGTATCAAGCGAATAACAACTTATCTGTTTACAAGGGATAGAAATACCAAATAGAGTAGAACGTTTATAAAGCGTGCGACATTTTACGATGACAGATTGATATTGTGCC